TAGTAATATATTTTCTAAATCGTGAAATTTTGATCAACTTTTTAGTCATAAAAGTTAATGACTACATTTACAAATAAGTTTTATTTGACATAATATATTTATCAATTACTAGCCCAATCAAATTCACTCAGTCGATTGCATCCACTCACAATCAATTTCCCGAACTCTCATCACAGTTATTTCATTATAATAAGTTATCATTTGTGCGATACATCGTATACATTGCCAAATATGATTTAAAGTCATTTTTACATGTTTTGTTTGTTATTCATTATTTGTTTCTCAATTATTTTCAACGCGTCGGCGTATGTCGTCCATTTATCGGAAACAAATGGTCACTGACAATGAGTACGTTGACATTTTGACGACCTTGTACTTGAACTAGTGCTTTTCTTGTTGCAGAACATATTATTTATTATGAAAAATAACAAACTAGTGATAAATGGCATTGTGCCTTAAAGCAAATTGCTGGAACTTATCTTCCCGAAATATTCAAAAGCTTTAAAATTTTTTGATATTTTTTCTTCAAAACGATCGCAACGTGTGGCTATTTAGACACGATAGTCCATTTTAACGGTTAGAAATTATAAATCTTGGTACCTATAGAAATGTACACAAAATTTGTGCTTAATATTAGAAGCTCTATAAAATGACTGATAATTTGATGTGTATATGTCTAATGATCATTGCTGACCGCCAAATGACTCTTTTTTTTTTCATTATATCTCCAAAACCACTGAACCTATCTTCTCAAAAGAAACATCTCTTGATTCCGTCGATACAAGTAAACTGTTATTTGAATCATTATAATCGTACGCTCCGTTCTGTCGAAAACTGAATTGCCATTTTTTACACTTTTTGCCCTTCAAAACAGCTGGAAGTGCCTTTACCAAAAACTAATCAGCACTTTCCCCATCAAAAAGAATCGTTTTTTTTTAATATTCAATTGGTTCATCCATGCTCTCGATTTCGTGGACAAAATTTTGTGGACATACATACTACAAACACACACATACACATCCATTTTTGTAAGGTATGCCAAAATGTCTAGAACTAAAACGTTAAGATATGCTAAATTGTCATTTTCGATTAGATACTATACTATGGCAAAATAATAAATGGCAAAAAGCTTTATAGCAATCTACAGCACATATTTAAAACATTCAATATTTGCTTCTTTAGATAACTTACAGTTTTATTATTTTAAAACTTCAGAAATAGCAGCACATTTCTAGAAATAATGTAAAAGACCTCACATTTCTTCTACTGAAATACTTTCTTATGTAGCTCTTAAGAAAGCAATTCCAAGCTAGAATGCTTCGCATAATACGCAGCTCAAAAGCTTTTATCGATTTCTATACTTTTTCCTAAGAAATACACGGATTTGAAAATGAAATTCTGTTGTCAACTATTGCATTAAAACAAATATATTATTCAAATTAGTCATCACAAGTTCAAATATTTATTCACTAGCCTTGAATAATTCAGTATGTGGGTATTCCCGTAAAATATCGCTTATTCCAACATACATGTTTTATTCGAACAGTGTATGTTTATACATAAATATATATATATATATATATATATATATATATATATATTATGTATAGCGTGCATAATCCCATTATTGATATGCCAGTATAGAAAGTGAATTCTCTGAAGATCTCCTAATGAAAGCAAATATTATATTTGTAGAGTTGCCTCGTAAAAACAAAGATTTTCACTTAAAGTATTGAAAAACTTGCAAAATGAAAATTAGTAAAGATTAAAGTAGGGACTTAAAGGTCCACGGGTAAAAAAATCTACCACCAATATCTCCAAAATCAGTAAAGTTAAGAATTTTTTAACAACAATATATGAACGTAGAAGGAAAAACTTTGATATCGAGAGAAAACGGCAATATTAAAAAATCCACAACAAAGGTATTTTCTTTCGTTGTTAGTTTTTTTTTAATGTGAGCACAGTTGTTTAGTTTACGAGACCTCATTATAATTTTTAATAGTTATTTAATAGTTTTAGAAGATGTACTGTTAATTTTAAGTTTATTCAAGAATTATGTTTCTGTATAATCTTTATAATAGCTAACGCGTGGGTAGAGTGGAAAAGACCAATTGGTCCTTTACCCTGGCAAAAATAGTAATTAAAAAAGTAAAGATTATATAGAAATTAGATCAAAGTTCTAAACAGTGCTATCGCCGTAAAAAATATACCCTTGAAATATTTATTTTCCTTTGGTTGAATAAGGTTATTTCGCAAAATCTCTTTAAATTTAAAAATTTAACATTGGATCTGTTTGGCTCTTGGGTGTCCCATTCGACTATGGGGTAAAAAGGACCAGGTAACAAATATTTACAAAACAGCAAAAAAACACATTTCTACAATGATGAATTAGCTGGAAGTTTTACCGAAAATAGTTAATTTGTTTGGTTTTCACAATATAGCTTCTTAAGGTCAAATTGGACCTTTGTGTTCTAGGAGTTAAGTATGAATGACTAAATATTCAAACCCATTTCATATAAATATCACGCAAAATAATAAATTCTATGCAAAACCAATACAATTTCTGAACATACTTCTAGACGTAACCTATGATGCACTACACAATTAATATCTTAATTAGAGAACAATATTTTTATCTCTACATATACTAATTATAATGAAATTGATTGCCCCATTACTGGTCTATTAATACATAAGCGCTACAATAAAGATATCGTATCTCGATTCAAAATAACAAACAAATGTTAATAATTGTCGTATTTAACATAGATAAGTGTTAATTATTTGTTATAGAAATTATACACAATTTAATTGCGTACTTAAAAAACTGATTTATAGCATTATGAAGATTTATGTAGGCGTTCGAGATGTCTATGCTATCAAAAGCCTATAAGCGGATTTTGAACATTCTTTCGATTTTGACAGAACGCTGAGATTGTGCATTAACTGTAAAAATAGGGATTATAATATATTAAATATATAAGCATAGAATTATTTAGTGTATACGAAGATTTAAAATTCAATTTGTATCTGAAGATTTCTATCTCTGCAACCTCAGTTTTAATAAAAGTCCAGCGTGAATATTTAGAATGTAATATAATCCACATCGTTTTGCAAAAGCTGACCCTTATGGGTAACCTAATAAAAAAGTGAATACCAAACCTTTCTACTAAAAGTATTTTCAGTCTGTAAATATACTTTCGCAAACAGCACAGTAAAGATTATGGTCGTGATGATTGAAAATAATAAAAAAAACGAAATACCTGAATCATGAAAAGGGACAATTTTT